GCAGTCCTTGACCTTCTGCAGCAAGCACTTCAGGTCCTCCTCAGTTTCAGCAAGCAGGGTTGTGTCATCTGCATAACGCAGGTTGTTGATGAGTCTACCTCCAATTCTGATGCCACACTTCTCATAGAGCTCAGCCTCCTGTATGATCTGTTCTCCATATAGATTGATAGGACACATCCTTGACACACACCCTTCCCAATTTTGAACCATGCAGTGTTTCTGGTAGTTTTCTGTTAATGTACTGTTCCAGTCTTTCTGGATAATCTTCAGCAATGTGGATTATTCTTCAACATCAAGAAACAAAAATATTCTCCACAGGGCCAATAGGCAGCATCATGCTAAGTGAAGAAAAGATAGAAATTTTCAATGATTTTCATCTTACATGGATTCACAATTAACAACCTTGGTACCAGCAGTCAAGAAATCAAAAAGATGTGTTACACTGACTGGGAAAATCTGCAGTCAGGGATCTCTCCAAAATGCTGAAGAGCAAGAATGTCAGACTAAGGTATGCCTGATCTAAGCCATGGTCATTTCAATTGTTTTAATCTATGCATCTGAGAATTGGACAGTAAATAAAGATTATAGAAGAACTGATGTCACTGAGTTATGTTGCTGAACAAAGGAACTAAATAACCCATGGATGGACAAAAGATGAATAAATACATCTTGAAGAAACTGCAGCCAGGATGTTCCCTAGAGGGAAACTTTGTCTCATATACTTTGGGCATGTTGTTAGAGAGGCAGGTCCTTGAAGAAAAGACATCATACTCAGAAAAGTGGAGGATCATCAAAGGAGGCGAAATGAGATGGATTGACACAGTGACTTTAACAATGGGTTTTAGTGTGACAGAGATGATGAAAATGGCACAAGATAGGACAGGGTTCAGATCTGATGTTCATAGGGTCACTAATGATTCTTACGAGACTCAATGGCACCTATGAACAACATCAGTGTAATTAATGCCACCCAGACATGGAGCCTGATAAAAAGGAAGAAAAATGAAGACTAGAATCTCAAAGAAAGTAAGTCTAGAGACTTACTCAGACTACTGAGTTGAAAAAAATTCTCAATACTTTGTAATATAAGAAAAGTTTAGTTCAAAAAATAATGCCATCCTTGAAATCATTACAAAATTATCTATTCAAAGAATAGCCTACAGGACAAAATGTCTATATGAACCATGGCTTCACCTGTCCAGAGATCAGAAAAACTAGATGGTACCCAGCTATCACTAGTCATTCTAATCTGGATCACAAAAGATAGGAAGAAAATGTGGAACAAATAAAATTGTGATGATAATAAAAAAACACCCAAAACCAGACCTACTGGACCTAAACTGGAGAACTCTCTGAGACTAATTGCCCTGAGATACTTTTGAACCTAAGCGTCTAAATCACCTTAAAGCTAAATAACAAAATGGCTCAAAAATCTATGAACATCATCCTTAAGTATTGTGTTCTCTTAAAAAAAAAAGCACGTATGAGGCCAAACTGTCACCAATTAACTCAAAACAAAGATAAAAATATAAGGAAGCAGGGATATTAATGGAAACAAAACAATCATAGTAGTAATCATGAGAATGTTCACTCACTATGAAGAGTGTATCCAATGTCACTGAACAATTTGTGTAGAAATTGTTGGCTAGAAACCTAATTATTATGTAAATCTTCACTAAAAGTAGAAAAAATATTTTTAATTCTTTATGTAAAATCACATAGGCAACAGTTTCTCTAAAGCATAGATTAGAAGCTTGGGGAGCAGTAAATCTAATTTAACTGAAATGGAACAACTAGAATAACAAGAATGAAAATGTTGACACAATGTGAAGAATATAATCAATGTCAATGAATGTTATGTGTAGAAATTATTGAATAAGAACTGATTTTGCTGTGTTTATTTTCACAAATATGAATTTTTTAAAAATATGTTCATTTTGCACTAATATATAAATGGACACTATTATCCATAGCACATAAAAGGGAATTCAATATGCCAGGTTTTATAGTTATTATTTCCAGCTTTTAGGTTACAACTTCAGATATCTGAAGAAAAGCAGGTACCAAGCAGGTCCTTTCTTACTACTTTAATAAGAACTGGGCTGCATTAACTAATCTGACAGACTCAAGATGCTACTGAGTATATCCCAAAGTATTTATTAAAACTTGTCAAGTACAGAAAAAAGAAAACAGAGCACTATAGTCACTCAAAGGGCCAGAATTAAGTCATATAGAAGAATTTCTAATTTTCATACATGTACAACTTATAATACCATGTATAACTTGTTAGGTATGAGAGAACTTCATTACATAAAACAGTGAAAAGAATTTAAATAGACATAATCATTTTAGACACATTTTAAATACTGTTTCCAAGTCAAGCACAACTATAAGTGATCATAAGAACTGAAGAAAATGTGTTTACAAAATTTATTACTTGGTCAGTTGTGCTAAGAACCAAGAAATAATGAATTGAGATCTCACTAATAGATACATAAGTCGCTTCATACAAGGGAATGACCAAAGTAACTCTTGATTGCTAGGCTAAAAAGACACTCTTTTGTATGTTTTTCAATTGTATAAGGACATACATTCAACCAAAGGGGTCTGAGCAAATAGCACTCTATTATTTGTAGACTCACAGAGTGCTGTTCCCTGTCTCGCTTACATGGCTGTTATATTGCCTTTGTTGATTTCTTTTGTCGATTTTTTTCTCTCTTTCCTCTCTGTCACTTCCTCTTTCCCCTCCTTTGTCCAGCACACTGATGTAAATTGCTTTGTTATAGCCTTCCCGGTTCCGAGCAATTTCAATTGCCAAAAATTGTATTCTGGGGGCTGAAAGACAAATAGAATTTATTACTGTCCTAATCCTGGTTACCTTCCTAAGCCTACTGGAAATCTATAAAGCATTCAAGTATAGTCAGACTTCAGAGAGCTGGAATTCTAATTCCATACTAAATGAAACTGAAATATTCAACTATATCAGTTACTTAACAAACATGATCTTTAAAGATTAAACATATAAAATGATCTCCAAACTAATTATTCATGCTACTGAATTGTCTAGATCTCCTCATCCTTAAACCTAAATAATTACAGAGACAAGAAACTCACCAAAGATTGTGTTTTCTTCAGTGTAGCCCAGAGAGCAATCTAGTCGCAGCAAAGTGCCATAGTTAAAGTCTTCTACAATCCCATCAAACTTCAAGCAGAATGGCCTCCACTTCTATAAACATTTTAAAAAAGAAACACAAAAAACCAAAAAACACAACAAATGCAGGACGTTAATAAAGTCAGATCAGCAAAAGGGCTTCCACTTTTCCAGGATAGGAAATAACTGTAGTTGAACAGATTTAGGAATAAAACTGCTAGCTAGTTTTGCTGACAGTAAAACTAGCAATAACTTTTGTGCTATCTACTATATCCTTAGACTGGTATGTTACACCACAAACAATATTTAAAACAGACAAAATGCCTAAATCCTTTACTAAAGAATTAAAATGTGATTGCTTTGAAAGTGTTTTTATACTACGCACTAAGATTAATAGCACACTATTAATCAGAAGCCTCAAGTCAACCTAACTATAAATGCTCATTCAGTTATATAATCTATGTCTGATATTAACAGCTCTGTCTGTGGCTCAATTACTCAATATGATCTTCCAGGTTAGGGGAAAGGATTTGCTAGAACGCCCTACAGAAGAGACTCAACCCATCAGGGGGACAACTTAAGTCATCAAAATATGCAGGCCACTTTTTTTTTAAATTTAGGTTGTTTATTTTTCATTTCAATGAGCAGGCCACTTTTTTGCAGAAAATGACAAGCAGTGAGCCAGGCTGGATGCTTAAACACAGTTAAGCTGCCACTCCTGCATCGGTGTTTTTCACACACACCCCTAAGTCTGGAGAGTGCTCTCTTATAGTGATCCTCCAGCTGTGGCTGATTTGCGAGACCATGCATCCACAATTAAGGTAGTTGGAGACCAGAGGGGGCTAAGGTGATGTCTAAAAAAATCCAACATTAGGCTACCACCACAGCCCATCCCCTGGCTTTTCTAGCTATTAGTTCTCATTATCTAAAGGGTCAGCCTTCCCGTTATCAGCATCTATATTTAGGGAAATATGCAAACCAGTTGCTTCACTCCTTGTGTCTTAACCCCTCATATTAGATAGCGAATTTTTAACTTGCTCAGCCTTATCAAAACAGTACTCTGAGGAAACAAGCATGGCTTTTTCTCTGAAACATCTTCTATTACAGTTGGATCCACACTAATAAACGAAAGTCTAGTCCAGCGCAAATCATTGGATTACAGTAATCAACATCAGCTCACAGAATCAAACATATTCTCTTCATCTGATTGGGTTCAAGTCAACACATTTTCAGCCATTTGTGGCTAGGTTCAAACAGGCATCAGCTGCAAACTTGAGAGTCCACACTTTCCTGTATTTCAGGTTGTATTCTCACTCAGCCTCAGCCAAACAAGGGCAAAGTCAACATATCAGGGATCCTCAAGACTTCCATGTTCCACAAACAAGCAGCCCTTCTTCATTTATCCATTCATCAAACTAGGTGGACAGTGCTAAAAGAACAAGTCCAAACTCAGACTTTCTCTTCATTACTGCATATCCCCTACATCGACTCATCAAGTGGACCCAGGTGGTCAATATGAGTTACGTACACTCATCAGCTTTACTTTGCCTGTTTATTGGCAAAGTCTCTCTTTTTCTATTTTTTTTCTTTCAAATGTAACTCTCCTCAGAGTATTGAGTGGGGCTTAATTTTTCTTAGGCTACATTCCACACTCTATACCAAATCCTACTACTTACTATAAGAATTCTTTTAGGGTAAATTTTCCTTTTTTCAATCCTCTAAATTACAATGTGCCTCATTATTATTAACATCCAGTATTCATTAACATTGCTACATCCATATTCATCAAGTATGTAATTTTTGACAAAAATTTTCATGATTTTTAAAAAATATCTTAATATTACTATACAGAAGAAGCATCATATCCTTCAGATACACTCTAGTAAACATATTTCATCTTAAACCATTTAGTATATCTTTATATCTTGACTTTGCTTTTCTTTTTTTAAATTTTTTAAAATAATTTTAATGAACATTTACAGAGAATTTGGATTTCCATTCATTCATTGCTGCACTTCTCTACCTGTCCAGCCCTCTCCCCCCACCCCCCAGTTCACTCCTCTCTTTCAAAAGTAAAAGAAAGACTCCCTCCCTGGTACACAATCCCCCCACAACCCTCCCACCGCCCCAAGTACATTCCACTATGCAACCTTAATTGTGGACTCTTGTGATAAACTTAATACCCTACCAT